ACTGTCCGCGCCCAGTCTTGCGTTTTGCCAATCAAGAAAATGAACAGGCCCATCACATAACCAGGCCTTGGCAGAGCTTTTGTGCGCACGAACTGCTGGCTGAGAGCCAGGTTCCTCAAAATCCTCCACAAGCAAAAGTGCAAGCTTCAAAACACCAACCATATTTTGCACTGCTGCTGACGGCGAAATCCACCGCTACGGTTTCAAATCCCCAAATCCACAAGTCTGTGGGGTGAAACTTCACGCATTTGCCGTTCAAGGCGACCCGTAAGGATGCCGCCGGGTCATCGACGAAGGCCTGCGGAGACACAATGCACATCCCGGTCACATCCCCACCTTCCATTCAAAAAAGAAGTGCCTGGGCCTCCACATCTATGTCCAGCTAAACCGAACACCGGCTTTGTCCTCTCCTCCGCTACTGATTCCGCTGAGGATCTAAAAAATAAGATAAGTCTGTTGGGAAGGTGGTTTTAAAAAATGAGATTTGGGAGGCACTTTTTAGAGTACGTGTTGTGCATAAACAACACACGTGGTGTCGAGCAGCCCGGCCAGCGAGTAGCCATGCAGGCTACTGGGAGGTCCAGTGCAGGAATACTTGAAATTGGCAGAATCCAGGGATCTATCTGGAAAATACATAAACACACATACATAAATACATACATACATACATACATACATAATTATGTTATATATATATATATACACATCATGCAGGATCCGCATCTTATTACATGCTCGCCTTTGGGGAAAGCCCCACATGCCATGGATGACGATGCGCCAGTTAGCACTCAATCTTACCAAAGGCGTAAGCCACATGCAGAACCTCCTCAGAAAAAAAGAACTGGAACTCAGGGAAAGTACTTGTTGCCGAAGGAAGGGGTCATTTGGATCTGGAAACGGAATGGAGACTTCTTTGTCGGATTAGATGTGCGTGATACAGCTGCTACGCAGAGCATTGTCAACTCACAGTTCGAGGGGCATGTCAAAGCAGCATCCAAATCCAAAGGACGTCGCTCCAATACGCGGATTCCGCAAGAAGACCTACAGCTATTGAAAACTTGATGGCACTATTCAGATTCAAGTGATGGGTGGAAGCATTTTGGAGCAATCGTGCATCGAAACACATTGCAGTCTTGAGCAGTTGGAAGCTGTGTTGGGGGTTGCATGCCCATGGAGCAACTCGGATCTGCATAGGGTTGAGATTTGTAAATCCAAAACACTCAAAGTTGGCACTGGCCCAGACTCAGATGTGGTGTTGGAGAACCATTCCGAATTGTCAACACAAGTGGCGGTGGCATCCAAAGCGCAGGATTCGGCCATTATGGTTTTGATCAGTTTCATAAGAGACTCACTTGCTAAATGGGGAGAACACACTGCACTGGCCCACCTTGACGACATCGTCACGGCATTGAAAGTTTCTCGCCTTAAGACTTACACTTTTCAGGGAATGTTTTTTGCTGTTGACACTGTTGACCGCTGTGATTTTAATCAAGGCTGGTGAACAAGTGTTTGTCTATACCACGACACCAGTATCGCCCAGAGTGAAATGATGAAACTTGACACTGAAGAATCATTCTGACAAGTTTCAACTCAAATCATTTGAGGTTGTTAAGGGCACAACATCCAGAGAGCGTGGAGGGAGTGCGTATTTTCCAACTTACATCTTGGATGCGGTTTTGTTGGCAGACCATATAAAAGAACTTTCCTCGATGGAGTCGGCAATTAAAGAGAGCCTCTGCTGTCATTTGAGCTATCTGATTTGCTTTGTTGAACCTTTGTTGTTAGGCTGTTTTGCGCAACCCCAAGCAAATTGTGTTGTTCTTGTTGAGGTGCCATCATCAGAAACAAAAATACAACTTTAAGTTTAAGGTCTCTATCTATGACGCTGCAACCAGAACTTTGCCAACACATTATTTCTCAGGTGGCCAGCATTCAATTCAACATCAAGCTTTTAACTTTTAGCTCCAAGCCGTTGGTTGGTTCAGAGTCTAGACCAACCACCACTTCAAGTTGAAGTCAACTCGAATGGAATGACCTGACATGATAGATTGTTTAAAGTTTTAAGTGTTGTGTTAAGTTCTTGGGTGGCCTTGGCCTAAGTCCTGCGTAAGTAAGGGCATCTCAATTCCGCGAAAGAGCACACTATACAAATACCGTATAGACTTGGACCTAGCATCCATGATGTGGGCTCGCAAACACAGATTTGGTTTGTCGACACCTTGGTTCCTCCATTGCCGCTTGGATGCGAGCCTACAGTTTGGCCGCGATTACATGATGAGTGAAGTGGATATTGTCAGCCCCGCCAATGTCTCATCTTGGCAAGGTGTTGGCGGAGATGGAGTGTTGTACACACGGCTACTTGTTGGACAAACCCTGGGTGCTAGAGCAAGTGGGGTGGTTGTGAAGACAAAAAAAAACTTCTCCATCAACTGTCTTTGGCTTCTTGGATTCTGTTTCAGTTTCAGCGTCTTTCGCACAAAAGCATTCTAGTTCTAGCTGTAGGTAGTTGTGGCCCCCGGCTTCGGCTTCAGCATGCACAAACGAACAACAAACAGCATGTCTCTGTCTCTGTCTCCTTAAGCTCAATCAAGGAAAGTGAGACCCTCAGTGGTACTTTGTGCAGATGTTTGAGTTTGCTATTTGATTGGGGCGCTGAATCTCATGTCTGGAAGTCACCAGCGTCGTTCATTCGGGAATCATTGCCTTTTGACACACTCTTCGGAATGGCTTTGCCTTTGCCTGACGGGGACCATGCGCTGCATCACGTGACTTTCCTGAACTTGTTTGCCTATTTTTTTCCCTTAAGACCCCCAACAAAAACAGGCAGCGGCAGCTGCAGGATGAACTTGTTGAGCTAGGTGCTCCCAACCAACACACAGAGGTCATGGAATGCCTGGAAGATTTTTTTCAGTGGGACAGCTATTTTCAGCCTCGCTTGCATTCCCTCTCACTATTCTTCAGCAACATTTCAAGATGCAATCGATTCAACAAAGTTTGCATTTCTCAAAACAACAGTCTATCAGACTCTCAGATGAATGATTTGGATTGTCCGCTTTATTTATTTTGCTGCTGGTGCAATCAAAGTTAAGATACGCAACTATCCATGGTAAGTATAGTCTTGACTAACGTCAGTTGAACCGAATCTGCAGACTCTGCAGTCTGCAAACACCAACAAATGCAATGTTGTTGTATCAGTCTCAGTTGGATCCAAATGACATTTGACATCAGGAAGAATTGAAGAGCAGCTTCATCAGCATGTTTCAACAAACATGCCCACTCCTGTACAGCCAACGTTGGCAGTATGTGCACTTTGATTGCACTCAGACTCAGAGTTTTCATGTCCAACCACGGGTTTGCTTTCGCTACTGAGTCTAGCTGATTCTTTTCGTATATTGTCAACAACGTGCAGTGCAGTTGCTCAGCTTGGCTTAGGTTTGAGACATTGCAATGGGTAATGAGACGAAAACAAGCGTTCTGCCACTTGCTCAACGACATCAAGATCGACTCTGGTATGAAGGAAATGTCTGATCACGAACTCCAGCTGCTGTTGTCCGTAGCAAAGGCTGATTCACCAGATGGGTTGCGTTTCTGGGCAACATGCCATGTGGTGCAAGATCTTTCAGAGTGGGGAGCCAGGACAAGCATCTGGCTACACGGCTGCCAATGCTTTCATCATCAAACCAAAAAGGAACAAGAGGCTTGCAGATTGAAGGGTCGCAGAGCAGTGGAACTTGCCCTGGGCGCGTGGCGTACGTTTATACAAGACCTGAAGGATTTGGGATTGAGTCAGGATTCACTTTTTGCTCTCAACAGGCTAGAGGAATATGGTGATCGACAATATGCATCACTGCTGTTGGAAGGGTTTCAGGACTGCCGGACTAAGATGGAGCTCAGGTGTGTTCAAGCCTGGTCATTTTGGGACTTGTTTCCTTTCAGCATCCTTCGAATGTGCAGTCATTTCATCAGCCCAGCCAATGACCAGTCAGAGTCAAGAGAACACTGTTTGGACTTGATGAAGCAGTATGACAAAGCTGAGTCTAAAGTATCACTGGGCCCACTTGCATACTATTTCTTTGGTGAAGAACGGAATCGCAAGAGTTTACACAAGTGGGCAGTGCGTGGCCATCACCTTCGAAAAGAGTTGGAGATGTTGCTTTTGGGATACAGCACATGTCTAACAGTCATGCAACGGTTGGAAGCAAGGCATCATCTTGCAAACTTAGCTCTGTCTGCTGGCCGCGCTTTGAGTCCAGCTGGACTCATGGCTGGATTGAGGAGGAAGTTCAATGGTGACCTCACACACCCGACGTTTCGACCTGCCCTAGCTGAACTGCTGAATCAGTTTGATGGTCTTGTGCTCCAACCGTGGAATTCTCGCAAGGAATTGTTGCAGATAGTTTACGGCTATGGCCTCAATGATCTTCATCCAGATACCACTTGGGAAGAACAACAAATGCTCCGCCATGCTACTCTCGCAGAAGGACTTCAATCCGGGAAAATTCCTGACATTTGTTGAGGCAATACTGTAAATTTTAACAATGTATATACCTATTTGTACTGCATGTCCTTTTTTGAGGGGCCAGTGTTTACTTTTTTTGTTACAAGCGTGTGTTTGCTCATCATTCATGACTGAGGATCGCCAAACAACACTTCACAATGAACACTTGGAATGCGTTTTTGCCAACCAGAATGGTGTTGGCGTCTACGCGCTGCCAACCACAATTCCTACTACACAGGGCTGTGCTGATGAACGAGAGTTCATTGTGTTCAAGATCATTTCCTTGCACCCAGATCGGCGATCTTACTTGCAAAGAGCATTTGCTTTAGCATCAGACGACGCTTTGTCCGCAGTTTAAGGGAACGGGTGGAACGGGTTGGGAGTGGAGTCGAGTTTAGAGTTTACACAATCACATGGGTGTCGTAGTTTCGGCTTGGGCGCAGTCTTCATTGATACTAGTCAATCAGAATTTCAGAATCGAGTTGTCTTGCGCAGCGCTACCATGGCTGATTTCTCTGACGAAGACCATCATCAGTTCGCCTTCGAGTCCTCGCCAGAGAGTGAATCAGATGGTGACTCTGACGTGACCCTTCCCATGCCTGCGCCGGCAGAGGCAGCAGCAGCAGTGGCGGCAGGTGCAGGAGATTCAGCACATGCGGGTGCAGAGCAATCGCCTCAGCCATCAGCAGCAACACCTGTGCCTGCGCCTGTGCCTGTCCAACGGCACCCTGCGCAGCCTGCGCCTGCTCGCGCAAAGGCAAAAGCTCGTCCAAAGCCAAGGCCAAGGCCACGACGGCCTCATCGTCCATGGGCAGGGCCTCTTTCTGTGAACCCCGGGGTTGATGTGGGCTTGCCAGATTTGCTCATTGAAGAACCGTTTTTCTGCCCGACGGAGTGGAAGAAGCTCATGCGACAGGCAAAGGAAGACTTCGTGAATCTCCGTCACATGAACAAGTACCAAGACCAAGACGCCTTCTTTCGCCAAGGATACTTTCGCTGGATCAAGTCAAGAATGCGAGAGCATGACTGGGTGATTAGGCCTCTGCGACGACCTGATCAACGCATTCTTCGTTGGGAAAAGCTGAAGCCAAAGATCGCCAAGACCCCTACCCGCAGAGGGGCCTGCACATTTGAAGTGTGAGCCAACGGTGCTTGCAGTCTTTAGTCTTTGCCGTGTTTCTCTTCTCTTTGTAGTTTGTAGTTTGAATTATATGTAGTGAGTCTCCTTCTCCTTGCTTGTGGCCATTCGTAGGGCTGGAGCTTTAGTTTGCTCACCAGCCGCGTCAGCCCCCAAGTGTTCAGAAACTGGGGATGGTCTGAGCAGCCTGCCATTAGGCAGCCTCGCTTGAGGTCTGACGCTGGTCAAACGGTCAGCTGCTCCAAATGTCAAAAGTGAGGCCTATGTTGGCTGTTTGCTGTTTTCAAAAGCTGAGAGTCAGGAATTGTCGCTGCCACAATGTGGCAGCATAGCCTATCTTCAAGGTTTGAGGCTTGAGAGAGAGCGCCGCGTCCTTTTGCCATGTACTCACTCAAAGACTCCAAGAAGACCCTCAACACTAAAGCCTGAGCCCCCCTGCAAGAACTTGTGGCTACAGAAACTTCAGGGTCAAACATGTTCTATCTTTTTAGTTTTGCATGTTAGCATGTGTGTTTCCCAATCGGAAAAACACTCCTCAGGACTGGAAGAACACCTTGGCAGTGAATATTCTTGGGACTGTCACCGTGCAGTGTCAAAATGAAGCTGCAATTGAACTGCCATCCCTGACTTCCTTCTGCAGCTCAGTGGAGCCTTTGTCAAAGAGTTCATTTTTTCAGAAGAACCGCTGGGAACAGCTCTACAAGTTTACGGATGTGCAGCCAGTTCTGCAACTGTCTTCTTCAGCATTCAACGAAACCTTGACCATGCCAGATGATTCTGACGAAGAGTCTGCCCCAGCACCCTTTGATGCATTGTTGGTTGAACAGGCTCACTTTGTTTGCTCTGCAGCTATTCACAATGCAGGACTTCTACCAAATGAGACCAACAACCGACTCGCCAGCTGGCTGTTGCAACACGGTATTGCAAACAAGTTGGATGATGGCAGAATGGTTTTGTCCCGTGATGCAATCAGCTATGGAGTACGTGCTTCTTCAGCAGTACTGGAGAGAAGCCTTAGATCTGCTGAGCTCAAATCCAGTCTCGAGACTCAATCTGATCTCAGTCAAAGTGGCTGGATTTTTGTGGATTCTCTTCAAGAGGCTTCTGTGCGACATCGGAAGTGCCTGCGGGAAAACCCAAAGTTTTACTTTACCTTAATCACAAACTTTGCCGACATGCTTGAGGAGCGTGAGCAAAGTGGATACTTCCACCACAAACAGAGTGCCGAGTACTACAAAACTATCGAGCTGGCCTTAGTTGTCCATCCAGACATGCTTGTCACAGTTCCGACCTACAAACCTGCTCGGTACTATACACAGCTTCAAAATTTTCTTCAAGACGAGCCAGGCGTGGAAGATCCTCGTGAGTTCTTTGAAGGTGCAAAGCAAACGGCGAAAAGGAGGCGTCGCGCTACATCAAATCAAGTTCGAACTACACAGCGTTTGAGTGCTGCTGCAGCTGAGCCATCTCAGCTTGTGGACTTACTGTCAGACTCATCTGAGCTCTCTGACAAAGGAGCTCCTGATTTTTCTTCAGATGCTGCCTTCCACAACCGCATGGAAACTGATGCTGAGGAACAGGTGCAGTTGCTGTCACAAAGCGCTGAAGGACAAGAATTTGGGAATGTGTGCACTTGGGGTTGTGATTTGTACATGGTCGATCAACACTTAGTACACCATGACATTGAAACTGTTGGTTCTATATTGTCAAAATCAACCTGTATTTTTGAGAAATAGCATAGAAGCAGGAACATGATGAAACCTGACTTCGCAGTGTGGTGTTGCCAGTTTGCTGCACAAGTACTGTGTTGCCTGGTGCTGTTTGGTTTGGGTTTCGGGTGGTGTTTGGGGGCTTAGGGAGCTTTTTTTACATGTGGCTTCAAAGGCAAGAAGGTGCAGTGGTTTTTAGAAAATAAAACCTGTTCTGTACAAAGAGTTGAACAACGCTCAAAACCTCATGAACAAATCATCAGCCTAATTCGTTCTATGCGTAGGAGATATCAGAAGAGGTGGATCAAGTGATTCAGACACCGATGGCGGTGAGGAACCTGGCGGTGGGGAACCGATGGCGAATGAACCTGAGCAACCTGTTCAGGAAAGCCAAGGTGTGCCTCGACAACAACCACAAGTTCCTTGGGATGTGCTCTTTCCCAGGAAGAGTGCCTATAGAGATGCCATTGTGGAAAGAGCACTCCCTCGTTTGCTACCTCTTTTGAAGGACCCGGCGAACACCCTCAAACCTCCACGTGATCTAGTCAATGCAGCACTAGATCAGTGTTCCAAAGACGGAGCCGGTTTTTGGGGACGCTGGGATATTTACACTAGGAAGCGTACAGTGTGTGATGCAATCCTGACCCATTATTTCCACACTTTGCAGGATTATATTTCAGGGCGACAATTTATTGCACAGTAGTACACACTCAAAGAAATTGTACGATATTCAGAGAGCTGCTGGTGCAATTGTGTTTGTGAACATGTTGTGATAATCAGAAAGCTCTTGTTGATTGTAGATCAAGGTGCTGTCGCAGTTTTCAATATTCATATATACATGTGTCCAAAGTCGGAAGCTGTATGTGTTTGCTAAGAAAATGCATTGAACTTGAAATGAGCAAGCTCTCGCTTTTGCAGTAAAATCGATAAAAACTGTCGATTGATGCTGTCCCCAGACCAAATTGGACCTGAAAACTTGCCCCTGTAGAGCCTGCAGCCTGCTCCTTGGTCGTGTCGCTAGGTCTCACTGAAACAAGCATTGAACCATTTGGTGATTCAAGCTTGTTCAGGTCAAGACTTGTTTGGTAGATAGGGAACGAGTCTAGACCGCCTGCCTTCTGTTCACATGGCTGATGATGACGACACTTCCATCGGTGTTCCTGTTCAACAAATTGGGTTGGACCCTCAGGAATTTCAGCAGGAATACACATCTTCATTGGTGTTTTGTGGTATGTGGTTTGCTGCAGTTGCAAGGTCTGTGTCTGAGGGCAGTCAGCCAAAAAGGAGGAGATGTGTTCTTGCCACCGTTATCTTATGCTCAACTGAAGTTTAGTTTTTGTAACTAAGTGTGACTGAGTGTGGCATTGCTTGGGTTGGACTGTGTCCTTGCAAGGAGGCTGGAAAGGTCTTTTGAGCCAAAGCCAACACCAGCTGGACATTTGCTTGCACCAACTGAGACAGCTCACTTGCAAGCATGGAACCGCCGTATAGCCGACAAGTTGGACTTGCAGTCTTTGAACCCCATTTCCAAGAGAGTGTCATTGAGAACTGAATTCAGTGGAGTTGGCACAGCTGAAGAATCCTTGACAGCGGCTAGTGTACTCTACAATTTAGATCAGAGTGCTGACAAGCATGTCGAAATCAATTGTGTCTCATGTGCAGATTGGGCAAAGGCTGCAAGAGACACTTTTGCAATCAACAAACCTTGTACTTGTTGCTTTGGAGACATTATGTCGCTGTGTCCGAAGAAGTTGCAAGACCAGATTGAGGCAAGGTTGGTTCAGAAGGCCAGGCCAATCAGTAGTAGGACACATGCTTCTTTTCTGAAACCTTTAGGCAGCATGGTATTCTTTCTTTGTGGTGCTTTATTTGAATGTTTCTTTGTCTCTTTAGACCTCAATATCTCTTTGGTGCTGTGGTGGCTCTGCCCATTCACGATGCTGTTCTACAGGTCTGCATTACTGCTGCGCAGTTGCGATCTCACCTGGGATTGTCAAATCGCGCATCCAAGAAGGCTACATCAAATGCGATAGATTCACTCTTCCTCAAAAATGGTATCCAGACACAATTTAAAGTGTTGGTTGTAAGAAGATGACAACACTTGGCCCCAGTAGCACAGCTGAAGGTACTCTGAAGAAGGACCTGCTCACCATCCCGAAGAGCGCAACACTATCATACAAGGGCAGCGAGACGTTTGTCAGAACTTCCCTTCAGGCTGCAACCTCTCTACTGCTAAAGAAACCATACCCAAGCCGTTTTGTCAGGCACTGCTGGCGTTTGGCGATGACGACAAGAAAATGAACCTTACTGTTTCTCGCAGGCTGGTCCAATCGATTCTGAATTCAAAATTCAGAAGTATAGTGTGCTCAACACTTCAGAAGGGTTGAGCATTGTTATTGAACTCCCCAAAATAATTCAACATCATGCTCAACACTTCTAGAAGTGTTGAGCAGTTTGCTCAACACTTCTAGAAGTGTTGAGCAGTAAAATGAGAAGTGTTGAGCTTGGGTTTAGCATGACTAAAAGAAGTGTTGAGCTTGGGTCGAGCAATTATGCTCAACACTTCTGAAGTGTCGAGCAACTTTGGTCAGGCGATCTCTTCATGAAATGCTTGACTATACCCGCATTATGAACAAGAACGTCAAGCTCAATGAAACTGACATGTGCGGGTCTTATGTCAATTGAGTATTTCAACTTCAACCTGTGCTGGGCTTAACGTTTCCCTCAGGTGTTTTCGATGCGGCACAAGTTGTCGACGGCTTTTCAGTGCACATAGAGATTCTGAAGAAGGCTTAGCAGTTGTGATAGCTGGATCGCCATGTGTTGACTTGGGCTTAGTCAGGGCCCGGGCTGGTCAAAGTTAGCTGCGCTTGTAGGTTTATTCACTGGTACTGTCACCCGTCCATCTGCTGCAAGCTTAGGACTACTCGCTCTTTGGTTCAGGTTCAGGCCTGATGGGACCCACAGTTCAATTTTTGGTGGTGTTCATCAAGTCGATTCTGCAATCTTTGCCCGACATACTGCTGCACGAGAATGTTGTACAGTTTCCGATCCACGAGATCAGTGATTTATTGCAAGGCCTGGTGCTTAATCTGTAATTAGCTATGGTAGTTATTTTATTGTTTGGTGTGAGTTGAAAGACTGTGCTTGCCAGTGACTGTGATGCTGAGAAGATATGTTTTTTTTGCTAAAACAAACTGCAAACTGTACATTGTGTGCATATAATACTTACCTGTATGAGGTTCACATTCAACTATTGTTAAGCTTCTTGTTTCTGATTTGTGGCTGAGACTATTACGATGTGACGACTGCTACAATCAGCCCGAGCAAAGATTGTGGCTTGCCAGTTGAGCGGACAAGGCTTTACGCGGTCTTTACTTTGAGGAGAACCGTCAGGCTGCTGTCAGTTCAGTTGGCCACACTGCATTAATCGCAAGTGGTGATTGAGTTGGCCACACTCATTACTCAATGAGTACCATATGGGTATAAACAAATTGTCTCTTGATTGTTCTCGTCCAGGCAATCAACAACTTTGGAGGCACTGGTACAAACCTTGAAGATAGACTTGGACCCGAGTTGCACCATGGACATGTTCCTGATCTGTTCCGATACCTATGATGTGCATGGGCTGCCATCTTGTTCTGGATCACGAAAGAAGAGTACTTATCTCAGCTTGTCAGCTAGTGTTTGTGTTTTGGAGGAAGGCTGATGCAGCAAGTTTGTTGTTTGATGCTGTTCCAGTCTAGAAATTCATTTGTTCTGGACTGAGGGCTGCAACGATATCGTCTTCTGTATCCAGGGCGACTGGCCTACGACACAGTTCAGAATCCGGATTGCCGCCCCCGAATGGCCAGTAAGGATGGGGTTCTGCAAACCTTGACAACAGGTGTTTCCGGCCTTTGGTCCTCTACATTCGATCGATACATACGCAGGAGTCCCAGAGCTTCACTAAATTCTAGTTGATGCGCTTGCTTGCTTGGTTTGGTTTGGTTGTGCAAAGATGTTCAAGCCAATAGTTTTGAACCTATTAAAGAGTATATTGCATATATTCATGCATATCGCATCCTAAGATGGAATCGAACTATTATATGCCCACGGCCTGGCTGTGGAGCCGCGAGCTGCGCATCAAATGGGCTTGAAAGTGATGGATTTTGGAAACATGTCTCATGCGTCTCTTTGTAGCTGAAGACTGCACATCAGTTTTGCCAGAGGACGTTTTTGCAGGTCTGCGATGGTTGTTTCCATTGACTGACTAAGGTAAGCTGGCTGGCAACATGATGCACGCGGCAGCAATCGGACGAGCTTGTGTCTATGCGCTTTTTTTTTGTCAGATGAACAAGTGAGCAATCATGGGTGTGGCTTTGTGTGCTGTTGTACAGAACGGGAAGGGGGCAAGCTCCTTCTTTGGCTAGCACATTAGAAATGAACTGTCGGACTGCACATCTTGTCATTTTAGAGAACCGAAAAATAATTAAGTAACAAACCCACTTCTGTAGGGCTGCACATGTTTCTTTCTTTCTGCACATGAACCACTGCATATGTGTTGCTTGTGTGCAGTTGCACAGAACAGCAAAGAGCAATCGCTTTCTGCAGCTAACACTGCACTGCCGGACTGCACACTTCTGGTTGGCCACCGTGAGAGCATGAAATGCATAGAGGTTTGCTGATGCTTGTGTTGTTTTGGAGGAACTCTGCTGAGGCAGCAGCAACTTTGTTGCTTGATGTTTGCACTACAACTCAGAAACTGTAGAAGTTCATCACGTGTCGCAACTTGTAGCAGGACGAAGTCTGCGGTTGGAAGTTTCTTCATGTGCCCTGTAGCTGTTTTGAGCAAACTGGGTCTGTCTGAAATAGATTGATCGTTCAGCCTAGAGCAGGTCTCCTTGTGTCAGCATGGCTCCGGCTCCAGGCGACAACCACGGGCGGCAGGTTGTGCCTGAGTCAGCTCAGGCCCAAACGCCTGCTCCACCAGTGCAAACCGATGCATCCCGTAAGCGGAAAGCAAGCACCATGGATCCAGATGCTGATGCTGAAGTAGAGTCATTTGGTTTGCATGTTGATGGCATTCGTACTTGTACTCTTGCTAGATGTTGTACTCTGTATACACATTGTACTATGTATTGAATTGATATCTCTTACTTAAGTTTTGTCAGTCTCAGGTGCGTGGATTGTGAGGATCTTGTGATGATCTCAAATTCTGTGCCTTGTGGTGGTGCTAGATGCAAGAGACGGCGGTGCCGTCCTTGCCACAGTGCACGTAAGAGTCTTCGAGGATGGTTTGTGCGAGCCAACCGTGGAGCTGAATGGGAAGCAATGTCAGTTGAAGAAAAACGCCAGGCTGTTGTTGATAACAAGGACAAAGGACAAGGCCGTGGCATCAAACGTGAGCACAAGGTGAAGGAGAAGGTTGAATGTTCAGACAAGATGGGTTTGGGACAAACAAAGCCATTTCTCACCAGGAAACAGTTGCATGACAGCAAGAGTACACTACACGTGTGTTATCCTAGAAGACTCACAGCACATATATATACACACACACACGTGAGGGTGTTGCTGTATGAAACCAGTGACTGTGTTCAACCTGACCCAGACTTTCCTCAAACATTGATTTCGATCCAAGGTTCATTCAAGCTCTCCAAGAACGCTACGATTGGAAGGATGAGGACTATGAGGCTGAATGGGAGGCCGCTAAGTCAAACCCGAATGCTGTTTGGGCGAATGACAGCTACAATGAACCTGTGTGCTCGTTGTTGACCATCACTGCTGCAAGTTCTTCCCGTGAACTTAGCCACAGCAAAATCGTCGGCAAGAGCCGCAGTGTTGAAGAAGAAGATTTGGCGGACGCTTTCAATAGTGCCTTTCACGAATTAAACAAACAAAAATATTCAGTCGGTTCTGAGTCATGTATTCCGATGATTGATGTTTGCCTTGCTTCCTTCATGCCAACTTCATGCTTTCATTTCTGAGCAGCTTGAGTTGCCAAGGAGCCATTACAAACAGTTCTTTGCACCAAGACACCAGAGTGTTTGATCAATCTCGTCGATACCTCAAATGCTTTGATTCTATGTACTATGGATACTATGGACATGTTCATATCAGTGATGTGTGGACGTGGAGTTGACTGGAGCGATTGATTTGCTGAGGTGTGAATCACTTCCAGCAGATGCCAGCCTTGCCAGGGCTGAATGCACCTCTTGCTATTTGTGCCCCCAAAGGGAAAGCCAAAGCCAAACCCCGAGCCAAGAAGGGTAAGGGCAAGGGTAAAGGTCAGATGGGGGAAGAGAATGAACATCCAGAGGATGACGGCAAACGCAAGCGAGTTCGTGATGAAGAGCTCTTCCAGCTTGATTTGAAGCGTCAGCAAATTTGTTTGCAACGCAGTACAGCAACTTGGTAGCACTCTAGCCGGCTAGTGTGCATGATGTGGCTATAACTTAATGTATGGTGTCGAAATGGTGTCAGAATGTATGGTGTATTTTCTGTTCTTGTGTTGTCATTTCTTGTTGTGTTCATTGTTCTTTGGCAATTGGGTGCAATTGGTTAGGCGGAGACGATTGAATCCTGGCGCAAGCCAATCAATCACCAGTTGGAGTCGACCATGAATCACGAATCGCTCAGCGCACACAGGAGTCTTGTCTGTGACCGCTGGGATTTATTGCAAGCCTTTGGATCTTCAGAGACTTCAGAGTCATCTTCAAAGCTCTCGCCAAATTCACAAGAATTGAGGTCTGAACTTTTTCAAGTGACAGGTCAATTGAAAGAGAAATCCATGAAGGACTACAGGAAGAGATTGTCTGGCTATGTTCAGTGTTTGACCAATGCCAGCGACCGCCTCAACGATGTTGTACGGGAGGAATTGGCCTGTTACTAGGGTGGCACTAGACTAGACTAGAGCTGGATTTTTTTTTGTTTTCTTCCGCTGTTCAGGCTTTGTCTTGTCTTGTGCTAAATTGAGTTCCCTTAGCTTCAATCTCAGGCGATGAGAATGAGCCGGATGCACAGGCGTTGCCATCGCCTCAGGGTGGGGTAGATGAGCCGATAGGTACAGTGATGCCACCACCATCTATGGATAACATTGACTTAGAGGAATTTCAGCTTCTTCGGAATATCTTGTGGGGTCTTCACCAAGCAGCAGATCCTTCTCAGACTGCTATCTTTGGCGATGCGATGATACATGGACTTCCATCTGATGCATCGAAGCCAACTACGTGCGGATATCTTCAACAGTCTTTGCCTTCTCCATGTTTGGGAAACTTGCCAAGGGACAATATATTCCAAGAACTTCGAGACGACATGCTAAAAGAAGTCAAACAACGCAGAGACTTGGGCTTGCCAAGCGCAGAGATAGTCCCTTGATTCAAATTACAAAACCAATATTAATATAGTGTTCCTGTTCAGTTCACTATTGACTCATTGACTGTCAACTCAAAAAAAACGGCAATGAGTTGATGTTGCAGTGTTTGTGGCGTCTTCTGACCAAGGTGTTCCAAGAAGAACGATTGTATCCGCTGGAGTTTACTTTGGCTGGGTCATCCTTCTTCTCGCAACATCTCAACAGTTTCCCACGTGACGTCAGAGAAGATTTGATTAAGACACTTGCCCCATATTACAAAGTGTGCCGTCTTGGTGATGATGCCACATGTTATGTGTTCACGTGCTTTTAAGTGTTTAGTGTATGTATGTGTAATTTACTTGCTGGATTCCTGCCGCTGCCAAACCGTCCATTGCTCAGGATGTGCTCTCTGAAGATGCTTTACACCAAACTGACCTGGAACAGTGTTGGGCTCACAGACATGTTGGCTCCTGTCGCCAAGTTCCAGCTCACAGGTGAGAGACTGATTGTTGCTATGCCATACGAGTCGCTTACTGCTAGTCTTGCTGCAGCAAAGCCAGGTGCTGCCCGCACTGTTGCAACCTTGGCGAGTCATATGCTTTCTATGTCTGGGGATGACTTCAGTGACGCTGGAGGGATGGGTTGCCGTATGAAGCCAGGGGATTTCATCTGGATTCCGGGGTCATGTGTGGTGGCGGAGTTCAATCTTGTTGCTGACGGAGGAAGTGAGGACGACATTCACACTTCTTTGAGTTGGGTGGCAATGACTAGTTGGGAATGCCAGAGCGAGAGCATTCAAAAAACTCTCAACAGTATTGACACGCTTCTTGCCGTGATCTGCGAGCCAAGCCAAAAGACTGTCGAGCACATGCTTCAGGCGCTGTTGCTCTGTGTGTATGCTGCAGTTTTGTTTTGTTCATATGTGCAGTGCACTGTGCAATTTCTACAATGGTTTGTTTTGCTGGTGTGGGCGGTAGGGGTTGGTGTATGTACACTGCCCCACAGTGCCCCACAGGCGTCCAGAAGAATCTACGACAAACTCCTTGAGCTCATTCCGATGGTGAAGGACAGGATGAGCAAAACTGACAGCTGTTTTCATTGTCTAAGAGCGAGGATTTATTTGTTGTCATTGTCTAGAGTCTAGAGATGTCTAGAGTATAGAACTATTATAGAACAAGAACTGAACAAGAAAATGCGTTTTTGGTTTACCATCACACTAGTATATGAGCATTTAGGCCCTCAGGCATTCTTTCACCCACCAGGATTGTCATGGTTGTCCAACTAAAGCTTGTACAGGACGAGCCGAATGATGAGGAGACTCCGTTTCTACCCCTGCCTAACCGACACCAGCTGCTATGCATCAAAGACATGGACACAACGCCAGCAGCACCAGCACTACCATTAGCAGATGCAGCAGCCAAGAAACAGGCACAATGGCAAGAGCAGCACCAAGCCGTTGGCAACAACAACAACAACAACAATGCCTTGGCAAATGGACACTACTCAGCGAATCAAGAACCAGCAAACGTTCAAGTTCATGAGCACATACAGCAAGCTCAAGCACCTGCAGCTTCACCAGCAGCTTTAGCTGCTGAAGTACTGCCTCCAGCACCAACAAGCACACATCAGCAAAGTCCAGGTGAAGATGCTTTGGCAAACATGTCGTCACCAATCCAACCACCGCAAGCAATGCCACCACCAGCGCCCGATGCTGAAGCTGAATCAGCATCAGCTGGGACAAAACAGCCTGCATCACCGGCAAGTGCTGGCATTCAGCAGAAGCAGAACATGCAGCCGCAGCAAACACATGAAACAGGGGCAGCTGGCGAAACAATGCCTGCAACAGCAGCTACAGCAGCAGAGCTTCATCAGCCAACACAGGCGGCTGATTCGGCAAGCAAACTATCACTATCAGCAAGCCAAATTCAAATCACACCACTGCAAGCAACGCCACCAACATTGCCACAAGAGTCACTAGAGTCACTAGAGCATGAGAAGCAGCACACAGCGGAAGATCAACAAACTGCCTTAGCAGCGGAGACACACCCAATCACACCTGAAGCTGAAGCAGCATCAGCTGGGACAACACAGCCTGGTCAAACACATGCATCACCGGCGGCAAGTGCTGACATTCAGCAGAAGCAGGGCATGCAGCCAACAAATGAAACGGGGGCAGCTGGCCCGAATGACCAAACAATGCCTGCAGCAGCAGCGGTAGCAGTGCACCAGCCAACAGAGTCAGGTGAAAAAAATACTTTGGCAACGGAGCAAAACCAATCCGCACCACCACAAGCAACACCACACCCGGCACCACCACCAGAGAATCATAAAACAGCAGCCGAGACACAGGAGCAACAACTACAACCAGGTGCTTTGTCGCAGTCGCAGCCTACAGCAGCAGTGAGCACTTTGTCTGGTGCTTGCCCAGCCAACCCGGGAGAACTACAGCCAACAGCGGCAGCAGCAGTCCCAGAACTGCCAACAGGCACACCAACACCAACACAAGGCGTTGGCAATGCCAATTTCCACACCGACACAAAAACAGAACAAACTGGTGGAATCAGGGAAGAGACTACTGAGACTACGTTGGGCGTTGGTGAACTTCTTGAGATCCTCTCCAGCCAGGAGGAAACAGCAGCACCTCACAGCAAGGCAGAATCATACACAGCACCAGTAGCGGCTCAAGGCACTGGCACACCACCAGAACCAGCAGCAGTGGCAGGCTATGCAGCAGCAACTCTCCAATCTGCAGAATCATACACAGCACCGGCAACAGCTGCATCAGAATCATCAGCAGCAGCTGCAGTAGACGTGAGCGATTCCGACGATGAGAATGAGAATACTTTTCAACCATCAAAGCTTGACGACAAACCTGCAGCTGATTCGCAAGCATCACCAAACAACACAAGCAACAGCTCTTCTAGCAGCAGTGGCAGTGATGGCAGTGACTCTGACAAGGAGGATCCAGAGCCTCCAGAGCCAGAGCCACCGCAGCCCAAGGCAACGGCAAAGGCCAAGGCGAACCCAAAAGGCAAGGCTAAAGCAAAAGCCACGCCAAAGTCGAAGCCGCAGACGCCCAAGTCGAGGCCGAAGCCACGTGCCAAACCGAAGCAGAAGGCAACTGCCAAACCAAAAGTGACTGCTGCAAAAACGAAGTGCAGTAAGAAGCAAGCATCACTAGATTTGGAAGCAAGTGGCAAAGATTCGCATGCAGTTGCCATGGAACTAACAGAACAGTTGAGGAAAGAAGTTACCAGGGAGAGGAAAAAGATTGAGCGGCAAAGACAGCCGAAGATTCCAAGGAAAGCAGCTGGGCAGGACCTGGACTAGAGGACAGAGGACACAAACACATTCCTTCCAAGTTGACACTAGAAACTACGTAGAAACTATTATGTATATATATATATATGTTGGATCTGAGGCCAATAACTGTTTCTAACTCTGTATTGACTCTGGGCGAATCAATTAGTCCAGTTACTTTTTCTATCAACTGGAATTTGAACTAGAGCGGACTGTGGGCATTCTGGGTGGAGTTATTCTTTCTTTGGTTTGTAAGCCTTAGATGATTCTTCAATTAGTTGTTCTGTGTTCAATCAGTTATTCTGCATTTGTACACACTGTGGGAGGATTCCCAAAGGAGTCATATGTCCACTGTCCAGTGTCCAGATTTTTGTTCCTTTTGCCGTTGCACTAGGACCGCTCAGCGATGGAACGATTCCGGCAACTCTACTTGACTGATGAGCGCTTCCAGAAATTCTGGCGTAAGTGTGCAGCTATGTTGCCAAAGCGCTTTTCCAAGGATGACTCCAAGATGGATGCTTTTAAGCAAACGCTTTTGACAGATGAACGCTTCTTGAAATTTTGGCGTAAATGGGAAGGCTGAGGGATGCCTTAGCATGTTCGCTAGAGTTAAAGATAGTGTCTGTCTGTCTGTTCATCCATCTGCAATTTTCTCAGGCAAAGGCTTGAGGGATTGCACAATCCAGAAACCAATGTAGGCAGTACAAGGTATCCAGCCAACCCCGAATTGCAAAGGGAAATGTTCATGAGTAAGAACACAAGTA